ATTTGTAAACGGTAGTTAGACGGTGAATTCACGCACTTTTCACAGTATTTTAATTGTGAATCCACCGCATTTTAGCGGTATATTCACGGTAAATTCACGGTGAATTCACGGTAAATAAATCAATAAAAATAACACAATCGACTATAGCTAGCCTTATTCGTTACTGAGCAGATGAGGATGGAGATGGGGACTTCAAACAATTAATGTTCAGCTATGCCATTACAGACGCACACTTCCAACTAAATATTGCAACCCAACGCTATTTATAGTTAGCTCGCTTGCGTAAGCAGCCGTGAGATGTATTGCTTAAACCGCTTGACACAGAAATCGACTAATAAAAAAACCGCTAATAAATGGGGTCCAACTTGTTGTTTTTTCTTTATGATGGCGTCTCAACCTCGTTGATTTTGCGCAGCTACACGAGAGCTCTCTTGCGATATTTGTATTGTATTGGGAATATCCAATTAGCAGATTGTTCGAATCTTACACTTACAATTTGCGGTGTTTTCACAGTCAATTTACGGTGTATTCACAGTAAACTCACAGCGCTTTTACGGTGATTTCACGATAAATTTACGGTACTTTGACAGTGAATTTGCGGTGATTTTGCAAATTTGAGTTCACCGTGAATTTACCGTGAAATCACCGTGAATTAACCGTGAAATCACCGTGAATTTATCGCAAAAACAGCGTGAGTTCACCGTTTAATTACCGTCTACAAATGTCACAAATGGACGGTATATTCACTGCACATAAACGGTGTATTCACGGTGAATTCACGCAAACGGTGAATTCACGGTGAATTCACCGTAAACTCAAGGCCGCAAGGGAATACATCTCACGGCTGCTTACGCAAGCGAGCTAACTATAAATAGCGTTGGGTTGCAATATTTAGTTGGAAGTGTGCGTCTGTAATCCCTTGCGGCCTTGAGTTCACGGTTTATTCACCGTGAATTCACTGTGAATTCACCGTGAATAAACCGTCTGTTTGTGACATTTGTAAACGGTAGTTAGACGGTGAATTCACGCACTTTTCACAGTATTTTAGTTGTGAATCCACCGTATTTTGGCGGTTTATTCACGGTGAATTCACTGTGAATTCACAGTAAATTCACGGTGAATAAACCGTGAACTGAAGGCCGCAAGGGTAGGTATATCCTATAGGTTAACACAACACTAGCCGTTATTCGTTACTGAGCAGATAAGGATGGAGATGGGGACTTCAAACAATTAATGTTCAGCTATGCCATTACAGACGCACACTTCCAACTAAATATTGCAACCCAACGCTATTTATAGTTAGCTCGCTTGCGTATGCAGCCGTGAGATGTATTGCTTAAACCGCTTAACACAGAAATCGACTAATAAAAAAAACCGCTAATAAATGGCGTCCAACTTGTTGTTTTTTCTTTATGATGGCGTCTCAACCTCGTTGATTTTGCGCAGCTACACGAGAGCCCTCTTGCGATAATTGTATTGTATTGGGAATAACCAATTAGCAGATTGTTCGAATTTTGCGGTGTTTTCACAGTCAATTTACGGTGTTTTCACAGTAAACTCACAGCGCTTTTACGGTGAATTCACGGTGATTTCACGATAAATTTATGGTACTTTCACAGTGAATTTGCGGTGATTTTGCAAACTTGAGTTCACCGTGAATTTACCGTGAAATCACCGTGACTTAACCGTGAAATCACCGTGAATTTATCGCAAAAACAGCGTGAGTTCACCGTTTAATAACCGTCTACAAATGTCACAAATGGACGGTATATTCACTTCACATAAACGGTGTATTCGGGCAAACGGTGAATTCACCGTAAACTCAAGGCCGCAAGGGATGGCATAGCTGAACATTAATTGTTTGTCCCCATCTCCATCCTCATCTGCTCAGTAACGAATAATGGCTAGCTATAGTCGATTGTGTTAAACCTATCCCTTGCGGCCTTGAGTTTACGGTGAATTCACCGTTTACGTGAATTCACCGTGAATACGCCGTTTATGTGCAGTGAATATACCGTCCATTTGTGACATTTGTAGACGGTAATTAAACGGTGAACTCACGCTGTTTTTGCGATAAATTCACGGTGATTTCACGGTTAATTCACGGTAAATTCACGGTGAACTCAAGTTTGCAAAATCACCGCAAATTCACTGTGAAAGTACCGTAAATTTATCGTGAAATCACCGTGAATTCACCGTAAAAGCGCTGTGAGTTTACTGTGAAAACACCGTAAATTGACTGTGAAAACACCGCAAATTGTAAGTGTTAGATTCGAACAATCTGCGCAATCTACGCCATCATAAAGAAAAAACAACAAGTTGGACGCCATTTATTAGCGGTTTTTTTTATTAGTCGATTTCTGTGTTAAGCGGTTTAAGCAATACATCTCACGGCTGCTTACGCAAGCGAGCTAACTATAAATATCGTTGGGTTGCAATATTTAGTTGGAAGTGTGCGTCTGTAATGGCATAGCTGAACAATTATTGTTTAAAGTCCCCATCTATATCCTCATCTGCGAATAATGGCTAGCTAGTCGATTGTGTTAAACCTATAGGATATACCTACCCTTGCGGCCTTGAGTTCACGGTTTATTCACCGTGCATTCACCGTGAATATACCGCCAAAATACGGTGGATTCACAATTAAAATACTGTGAAAAGTGCGTGAATTCACCGTCTAACTACCGTTTACAAATGTCACAGACGGTTTATTCACGGTGAATTCACGGTGAATAAACCGTGAACTCAAGGCCGCAAGGGTATTACTTTCTACATTTTTCTTTTTCGACTACAAAAACCAAAACATGGGTTTTAATTGCTATTAATTTGAACTATTGCAATAAAATCGATGAGTTTAAGGCAAAACGACCCAAGCGCCAAAAATTTTAAATTTCAGTACATGAACCTGCAGGTCGATAGAGAATTAAATTCTCTATAGACCTTCTTAAAAAAAAAAAAAAATTTGGCGCTTGTGCTGTTTTGACTTAAACCCATCGAAAAATACATTTATTTCTATATAAAAATAATTTTAAAAGTTGTATTGACTCTCTCCAATTAATCCACTAAGTAGTAGACCGAGCACCGCTGCAATAGGTATACTATAGTAGCTGCTCGCCGCACGGTCCCAACTCGCTTCAACCCTTATTTTTTTCGACTTATTCTTGGGATCCCATCTTCATATTACATCAAAATTTAGGAAATTGAAAAAGCTTTCTTTTGATATTAATTTTTAAAAAATCCAATGTGTCGCATTTCGAGAAAAAAACAAATATATTTTTAAAATCGTTTTTTTTATAACCAAAAAATTTTTATGGTAAAGCGTGGAAAAAATTCTATACGATATGTTGATTATCAATTAAAAAAAAAAATTATATACATGAATAAGCGCACGAGAAAAAAAAAATTTCAGGCCCCTGTATCTCTGCAACCCGCTAATCCATTCGCCTCTTATTTGGAAAATTAAGGTAGTCCAATAGGACAATGATTTGGCAGTTATGTTAAAATCGGAGAAAACATCATTTTGAGGTGTTTTGCCCCATATGTATTTTTAGTTTTATTTTTATCAATAGGACCTGAATAAATGTTGTTTAATTGTGTTGTTTTTATTTCATCTCGCCTATTTTAGGCACTTTCGGCCTAAAACTGCCTAAGAAGTAGGTTTTTATTGCCTATTTATGTGTCCTAATTTCCAATTTTTAAGGGCCTAAAATCTGGTCTTTGTTTATAATACATAAATTCCACGTATTTCCAACGTTTTATAATACGTAAATCCCACGGTTTTTAAAAAAGCTTTGAATCTTGCCATATATTCGGTACTCGGCCGTACAACTATTCGTTTCATCTCTAACAAAGGTACAGGGAATAAAAGTATGGTTTGCACCAAGGCCCACTTCTGCTTGGATCCGCTACTGCCTCGCCTTTTGGCGACTTTTTATAAAATCCCTAGAAATTTTATAAAAAGCCTATTATTACGATATGCCTATGACATATACAGGGTGTTATGTATTATATATTAAAATACTGAATACCTTTTGACATAAGGAATAAAGGAAAAATATTTTAAAAAGCATTTTTCCAATGATAAAGAAAAAATATGCATTAGAAGTTTTTTATATTTTTTGTGATACGCCACTGGTTACACACTTGTTTATCTCTGCACACCTGTATTTTGTGAGTACATAGATACCAACCAACAAAGTAGCTATGCGTTGCCAGATGTAAACAATTGTTACTAAAAATTTTTCTTGCAAAAAATAAATAAAAACTCAATAAATACAAAAGTTTTATGCTCTTAAAGCTCTAATACCCTTCTGTATTTATTTACTGATCCAGCTATTAGCTTAAGCAATGATTAGAAAATTTAGTACCTTTGAAATTTGAAATCCATAACCACAAAATTAATTTTTTCATCAGTTTTTTTCTCTGTTTACTCAGATGAAATTGGGACCAGTTCACAGGTTAAACTTTAAACATTTAATTTGTGTAAATAAATCCAAAAGCACTTCTCTTAGTTAAGATATTTACAATTTGAAAACATAACCTAAAATTTAAAAGAAATGCACTAGATTCTGTCATAAAAGTTGGCAGATTTTGTTTGAATTTACCTTCAGTACAAAAATGAAATAACCAACAATTAATAAAAACGCCAAATTGACAATTTGCATTGTTAATTTTGTCATTTTTGTAATTAAGCTAAATTTAAACAATGTTTGTCAACTTTTTTGAGAGATTTTGGAAACACTTGTTACCAACCATAACATAATAAATCCACCAGATTAACCGTAAGTTCCTAGTCGATCAGTGGCGTACTTTTTGGTAGAATAAAGGTTATTATAAATTATTTTTAGACTTTGGAATTTAGAAAAAAAAAGTTTCAGGTGCTTCTTTATGGACCCTAAGGAACAACTCATTTTAATATATAACATTAATTACATAACACCCTGTATATTTTATTTTTTTAAATATTAGTGATTTCGATATTTGAATAAAAGACAATAGAATAATTTTGATGTCTTTAATAAAAATAAAATAAACGTATAAAATTATTTACATAAATAAACTCTAAAAACTAAATACAAGTTAAAGCTTACAAAACTAAAAAAGTGTTACCTTTTACTACTTATACTTAGTTAGTAACAGCATTTGTACCAAGTGCTTTCATTAATTTATAACAATCTTGAAGTTTCTTTTTATCTCCAATTCTTTCCAAGGTTTTTGCTGCTTCCACTAACATACCTGCTCTTTCCCCAGGTGAAGACATTAACTGACCTGGAAGATGTTTACATGCCATATACAATGCTGCAGCATGTTGACGTTCTGTTCCATTAACAGTATCATCCCTATCTCCTAAAATTGTGATAATGTTAGATTCCTACATAATCAATATAAAATATGGGTTAAGGCTTGGTCAACCAATGGTCAATTACAGTCTACATAAATAAATTACCTTTTTTGCAAATCATTGAGGTTTTTAAGTGCCTGTGTCTTAGGCTTCTGTGTAAAAGTTGTTGTGTTCTTCCTGGTGCGGCTCCAGCCATTAATCTAGCAGTTGCATCGTAAAGAAAAACGCGGGATACAACAGACTATAAAAAAGATGCAACATTTTACTTAAATAAATTTAAAAAAATAACAAATATTACCGGCATTTGCTCAGCTAAAGATCTCAACGAATTAAGATCCTTTTGAAAAGCTGTTAAATAATTATTGGAGACAGGTCCGGTATTGCCATTTTCTACACTATCCTCCCACATTGCAGTTCTAGTTTCCAGTAACCAGTCACAAATAACCAGTAGAACCATCTATTAAAAGGAGAAACATTATTATACTACATTATGGCTTTTACTTGAAATCTACTTTGTTCCTAAATGATGAAATTTCTGATATTTAGGTTGCACTGAAGAGACACTGCACTGTTATGTATCCATGCAATGCAACTACAATGCACCCAAAACCCCCAGACTAAATAATAATAAAAAAATAGTTACAATAATAACAAAAAAAATAGTTACATTAACAAGTTTATCCTTTTTCTTGCAGCTAGAATAAGTGATACTGTCAGCCAACAATTGACTTGCATAATCACATTGCTTTGTCAACTTTTTTTGATTACCATCCATCAAATATTTTTTTCTAGCAATATAAGCAGCTATAATTGTTTTGGGTATTGGGTTTGTAGAACTGGTTAAAACTTCTGGTACAGTTTCAATTTTTTTATATGCTTTTTCAGCGTCACCATCTTCTCCTAAATACCAATAACAAGCCACAGAGATAAAAGCTGTCCACCATTCTGCCACTTGATCATGATAATCTAATAAAAATAAATAATATTTCTAGAGTTAATTATTTTTTAATGTATCTATTTACTTGTAGCTGTGTTAGAGCCAAAAATTGCTTTAGTTTCAACAGAAAAACTATCATGTAGAAGTTTAACATATGTTAAAACATCAGAAATTTCAGTTTTTTTGTCGTCATTTTTAGAACCAGGAGCTACTATTACTTTTAAAGAGCTCTCCAATAGATTTTCTCTATAATGCTGAAAACTTGTTAAATTTAAAATAAATTTTATATACTAATAACCAACCTTACTTTTAATTTCAAAGCCAAAGGATCAAGAACAGTTCCTTTAGATGTAAATTGTAAATCTCTAGTACATTTCATGTTTTTGTATGATAAAAAGAACCTGTAGCCTGATGGAGTAAACAACCATTGCAACCTTGATGGTATAGGATCACATGAATTTGTGGAAGCTAACTTGGCAAGTCCCAAATAATACCTGAAGAAGAATGTTAAAACAAATAAGTTAATTATCAAAACATCAATACGTACACTTGAATTGGGTACATAAAGGCTGGAAAACTGGCTTTCACCCTTAAAGCAACTCCAACGTATATATCAATTAAGTTAATGGAACTTAACCTTCCATTCGCAGCTTCAGCCATATTTAACGCACTTAAAGATGTAGTTAAACCAAATAAGTGACAGGTCTCTTCTTCACCTCCAATTAGTTGAATTTTATGCAAATCATTATAAACCAAAGCCAATTCTTTGCAGGAACTTTGGGCTTCATGTCTTAATGCTCTGCAATATTAGCGGTAACAAGGTACCCTTTTATTAAGGATTAAGTTACTTACCCATTAACAAAAAAGCCACCGCAATGCCTAGATAGATATTTTCCAATCCAGAAACGGTGCATTACTTGACGAAATAGTTGCCACCCAAAGCACAAAAATAATTCAATTCGACTTGTGGGTAAAGATATGCCATAACATTGTAAACTTCTTAGTAGCTCCTGTTTGGCACCAAGTCTATCACCCTAAAACCATAAATAAATGTTAAATAAAGTCAGTTTCAGTTAAATTTAAAATATATTAAACTTACTTCTTTTAAAAATTTGTCGGCTTGCCTTCTATGTTGCCAAAAGTTTTGAGTCTGCTTAGATTTGGTTGGTAATACAGGATCGCCATAAACAAACATTTTTATAAGACAAACACCAAAAACCATAAAGTTAAATAGGGATAATAAAATTGTAGATGTATAAATGGGCAAGTTGCTTGGTTCATTCCCTATAGAAAGATAGATTTTAATTTAAATTAATACTTAATTAGACTGTACTTACAAAGAATTCCTCTTCCACTGTAGCTGTCAGCACCAGAACCAGCACCAGTGAGTTTATTAAAGGCAGTTCCAAATGGATTAAAAGCCACAATAACAAACATAAACATACATAAAGTTAGTTTTGATTGATCCATCATTCCTCTGACCACACCAACACATTCCTCATCACTTTCGTCTTTAATATTTGTGGAATATTCTGGACTTGAAGGAAGAGAATGGACCGGAGATAAAGAGGAAATATCTGAATGAGGTGGTGTATCCTCAGGTCCATATGTTATTTCACTGCCAGTTGTAAGAAGTCCTTTGAGTGTATTACGGTTTGCAGACATTTTAAGGGCCATGTTCTCTTGTTTAAGTCTTGAATTTGAATTTTGTAAAAATCGAATGTACTCTATTGTCTTCTTTAAGATGGCAGACTTATTTAACTAAAAAAATATTTAAATAAAAATATTTTTTCTACACTATGTAAAAGTCACTTTTCATGATGGCATCGTTGCTTAGAAAATGAATCTTTTCATTGACAAGGCAAAACACGAATTAAAGTGACATTTATGTGTGAAAAGTGACAGGTCTGTGTGAAAAGAACCGGAAAGCATAGTTTGACATTCAGCTGTCAAAAAAGTTTTTAGGTTATTTTGTTTTGTATTTAAAAATAATAAAAAATAAAAGGGTCGCAGAAAAAACATTGTGTTATACTTGTGAGAAAAGCTTTCTTCAAGCTCGTGTTAATGCACACTCGGCCTAACGGCCTCGTGGGCAACTTAAAAACTCGCATGAAAAAGTCGCTTTTCAACACTTGTAAAACAATAGTTATTTGTAATATAAGTTAATCAATTGATTTTTCGATAACAGAACTTTTAAATTATGAAATAAAAATATAATTGAATTAATTTTTTTTATAATTTGCTCACAATGAAAATTAAAATTAAAATTTATATTTTTATCAATATGAACTCCTAAAAATTTTGTACTATCCCCTGTATTAATTTCTGAGTTATCAAGGAAAAAAGATATAGGTTTACATTCCCTTTGTCTAGCATAAAACTGTATAATTTGTGTTTTACTCGAGTTAAGACATAATGAATGAGAGTTAAAAAATTGTGATATTAAATTTAAGGCATTATTGGATTTATTTTGAATGGTTTTATTGTTTGAGTCTGAAATAAGAATGGAAAGATCATCGGCATACATTTTTTAATATTAAATCGACTTGGTTTACATATCTATAGAACAAAACGAATTGGACCTAAAATTGTTCCCTGGGGAACTCCTCGCTCCAGGGCCAACTTATTTGAATTTACACTTTTGAGACAGTTATTGTTTAAGTATTGAACAGAGACGTACTGAGTACGGTTTTCTAAAAACGATCGTATCCAAGATAAACAAACACCTCTTACGCCGATGTCGTAAAGTTTTGTTAACAGTAAATCGTGGTCGACGCAGTCGAAAGCCCGACTCAAATCGCAAAAGATTCCAACCGGGCATTCGCCTTCATCCAAACATTTAACAATTTTATTATAGAAAGCATTAATTGCTGTAGATGTAGAGTGCTTAGAACGAAAACCGTGTTGGTTTTTGCTTAAGATATTATTTTGATGTAGAAAACTTAAAAGTCTGTCTAAAAAGGCATATTCGAAAATTTTTGAAAAAACTGTTGTCAATGTAATAGGTCTATAGTTCTCTACTTCATTAAAATCATTTTTTTTATAGATAGGTATAACTTTTCCAGTTTTTAAGATTTCGGGAAATTTCCCCGATTCAAACGAAAAATTTACTAAATATGTAAGTGGTTTAATTATCAAAATAATAACATTTTTAACCAGGAACATTGGAATATTGTCTGGACCGCTGGATCGTTTATTTTTTAATTTATTATTAATTAGAAGTAGAAGTTCATTTTCACAAAAGGGCTTTAAAAACATAGAACTTAAATTTGTTTGCTCTATTTTAAATTTATTTATACCTACCTTTTTTTGTGAAATTTCGTCCACGAGGATACGAGAACAATTCACAAAATATTCATTAAAAACTGACGCCACTTTTTGTGGACATTTTTCAATAGATGTTTTTATTTCAATATTCCTGTGTACCTTTTTTATATTCGATAACTCAGATATTACATTCCACGCTTCCTTAATATTATTTTTTGAATTTAAAATCCTTGCTTGATAATATTCTTTGTAAGTTTTATTAACTAACCGATTGTGAGTTCGCTTGGCAGATTTATAAATTTCATTGAGTTGCGGATATTTGTTTTTTAAACACAGAAGGTCACGCAATTTCATACTAGACACTTTTATACTATCATTGACCCAACTTTTTTGTTTCTTATTTAAGCAATATTTTCTTTCAGGAAAATTAGCCTCAAAATAGTTCCTAATTATCTTATTGAATGAGTAAAAGGCATCATTGAAGTTTTCCGTGCTAAACACATTTAGCCAAGTTTCACTTTCAATGGACTTTGTAAATTTAGATATAGAGTTGTTATTAAAACTACGTTTTAATCCATTAATTACGTTCGGTTGTGTATCCTGTAAATCCAGTTCAAAAAATATACTTCTGTGATCTGAAATGACATTATCCACAACAGAGCAAATTCCTTGGTTATAAAAGTTTATAAAAATTTGATCAATGAAAGTACAAATATTAGTGGTGACACGAGTTGGCCACTCTACCACAGGACTCATGTTAAAACACATCAAAAGGGTACATAAAGAATTAAAATTTATATTACTATACAAGTCTAGGTTAAAGTCACCACACAAAACAAAATCAATGTTTGGTTTAAATAAAGAATTTAAAACCTCATACAATTTTTCGAAAAACACCAACAGATTCCCACTTGGAGATCTGTAACAGTTTAAAATTATTATACGTCTATGACCCTTACAGTAAGAGATTCCACATATTTCAAAATCTTGTTCAATGCAAAATTGGTTTAGGTAAATATTTTTAACATTAAGATGCTCATTCACCCAAATACCCACACCTCCACATTTAAAGGAGGTTCTGCAAAATGAGGATATTAGATTATATCCCGGTTTATAGAGAGATTTCAACATTTCTGATTTTACACCAGTTTCTACCAGGCACAAAAAATTTAAATGGTTGTATTTTAGTATATCACTTAAGAGATTATTAATTTTAGATGTATTTATAGTATTAATATTTAATAATAGTAGATTAGGATTAAACATCACTTGTTTTCCACCTCTTCTTTCTTCTTGCGCATCTGTAAAAAACGGTCCACACATGCACCGAAAGGCCAAATAGATGGATCCATAGCTTTCTTGAAACTATCTTCATATAATGTAATTTTAAAAGGTGAGTACAGCTCCGGGTGCTTGGGGGTTATAGATTCACATTTTATTTCAGGAATGTAGGGCTTCAACACCTTTTCCAAATCTTCCTTGGATGTATTAGGATTGATTCGGTATACATGAATATATGCAAGTTTAGGAACGCCTTTGATTTCCAAATTATTTTTGTTATTACCAATTATAGCAGTGTGCTTTTTCTTATATGTAACTTTTTTCCATTCTTCCTTTTTGGGAGCATTGGAACTATCTTGAGCTAGGTTAATACACTGATCCATTTTGATTTTACTCTCAGCGGCCAACAGGGCAGCAGAGACTTCCTTATTAGATATATTGTTTTACGGTTTATTTATATTTTTAGTATTTTCAGTTTGTTTATCGTTTTTATACAAATTTATTTCTTTATTCACCTTCTTTGCATTCTTTGATAATTTCGTTGTTGCAGTTTTTTATACGATGTTATACATAAATTATGACTTCAGAACTTTTTAATCAAAAGCTATACTCAAAAATTGCATGTCCAGAAAAATTATGCTAGAAAATGGGTGGGAGGTGGAGTCTCGAAACTTTTTGAAGCATGCATATAGTTTACCCTTGCCTGCCGCCCTCCTGAACAAGGTCATGGCTACACCCCTGCTGAAAATGGGGCAAGAATCCCTGCTTTTCTAAAAGGTTAAATTAAACCTAATGAAAAAAATTCGGCATGCCTTATACACTTTGTTTTTTAAATAATTTATATTGAAAAATTTATGTACACAAATTTTAAAAACTGTTACTTTTATAAAGCAAATTTTAAAATTTAATTGTTGCAGTTCTAGTCCAGATTTTTTTACCCGGTGTATTTTATTTTAAAAATAAAAATATTGTTTCAGAGCATATTTTTTATTATTTGTCAAATAAATATTACAAATAATATAAAAACAGGCTTTACCTTGAGAAAATTTTTGTCAAATAAAAAGGAGCTTATCTCCGTTACAGAAACTACAAATACTCCATTTTATGCTATTTCAGACGATGCTAGCGTCAAAACGTTGGGAGTGCTTTGGGATGCAAATAACGATTGTCTAAGGTTTAGTGTAAAATTTATCGAACAAGCAAAAGTCACGAAAAGACTCATGTTGTCAAAAATAGCACAAATTTTCGATCCTTTGGGACTAGTGGGTCCAATCGTCGTAACTGCTAAAATTCTACTTCAAAAATTGTGGAAATCTGGGGCAGGTTGGGATGACGATATCCCACTCGATATAAAAACTTCGTTTCTTGAGTTTCAAAGGGATTGCTTAAATCTTAACAAATATCAATTACCTAGACATGCATTTGCCCCTACTGTTACAAATAGGATGAAAATGTGCATATTGGTCTATTATGTGCAAAATCCAGGGTAGCACCGCTTAAAATAGTAAGTCTTCCGCGATTGGAACTTTGCGGTTTTTTATTGTTAACTCGATTGTTAAATCAAGTCACTCTTGCCTTAAAATTAAATAAAGTTGAAACATATTACTGGACGGACTCAAAAATCGTTCTCGCTTGGCTGGCGGCCGAACCATCAACGTGGAAAACCTGTGTAGCCAATAGAATCTCAGAAATTCAAACCATAGCCAGGGATACAAACTTTAATCACGTAATGTCGGCTGAAAATCCAGCCGATATAATTTCTCGGGGCGCGACAGTACACGAATTATTCAATACGCCACTTTGGTTTCAGGGCCCACCTTGGTTAAAAACAAATAAAAGTAACTGGCCTATCGCAACGGTTAATGAACCAATAGATCTGCCGGAGACTCGTAGTTTCGCCGTTCTTGCCAATAATTGCGACAGTTTCGATATTTTTAACAGGTATTCTAAATTTAATAAATTAAACCGAGTTGTAGCCTATTGTATAAGGTTTTTCAACAATTTAAGGCATCCCAATAGCAAACAAACAAGTGAATTGTCTGTATCCGAATTGTCGGATTCCCAAAATAAATCATCATCATCAATCATTTAAGATAGAAATCGCGGCACTCAAAAATAGGAGTCAATTAAAGGCCATAAGTAACATTCTCAGTCTAAGTCCCTTCATTGATAAAAATGGTGTCTTGAGAGTAGGAGGCAGATTGAGGCATTCA